CAGATAGGGGTACGAACCTCCCGAAAAGGCAGAGATTTCCACTATGGTGCTCAACCTACTAAAAACTCGTCATCAGCTTCAGCATCCACAGAACTTGAATAAGCCTAACGCGCGCCCGGGTGGCCGGATAGATATCGTTCGCCCGGGTGGGGGTCAACTTTTGTGTGTGACCTAACAGGTGTGGTGACCTATTTTGACCTTTATGGATTACACTGAAGATGTATATGCGGTTCCTGTTATCATAAAATTCGAAGTGAGGACCAGAAATTACCCCAACCGCCAAACCCGAAGAGCAATAAAACAGGCGGCTTTGGCTTTGGTCTGACCTGCATACCTGACCCCAGGTCAATGGAATTTGTTCATTCAATTATTGCGCTTCCTATGAAAGTGTCTCAGAAATGTATGGCTTTGTCTAACACTCCGTTGTTGCATTAGATTGAACTCTTCCCTAGAAATTGACTTTGCTGAATCCATGACCTGACTGTGCCCTGCCGTAGGTCAGCGACCTTTCAAGGCTCACGTTATTTTTGGACACCAAACTATATACTATTCAAATATCTACAACAAAATTTGGCGCGGCTCCGCTGCACCGTTCGGTACTATTCCAGACAAGCCTTTGGGTCAGGGTCAAATTAACCCCCAGCGCGTGTTACACACCCTTAACAACCTTGAACAACACCTCGAGAAACACAGCTCGAAATAATTTCCAGCCTGAGCGCTGAGAATGCTAAACCTGCACTGCCCCTTACCAGTCCCCGAAGTTGCACTTCTCGGAAACGAAGTCTGTTGTCTCGTGCGAGCCGTAGCGGTACGCCCTGCTGAGGATGACCTTGGAGCGGACGGCCGGGAAGAAGAGCGTGATCGCCCGGTAGATGACCATCAGACTGTGGGAAGACGGAGAGACGGTCAGCTCGACATTGCGTCATTCAGGGCCATGAACCCGTACGCTCTTTCGTGCAGAGTATGCATGAGACAGGCGGTGAAGAGGTTGGCAGGCAGGTTAAAAGACGAAACGTATAATGTTCCTTCCATGATATTCCAGAGCTAGCATTGGCTGCGTAAAAAGTAAAAATGGATTAAGAGAGAAAAGTGTTGTGGGGGTGCTCAGTTTAGTTGGATGCAGTTAATATCCGTTCAAAATGCTCGCATATCTCATTAAATAACCATCTACTTTGTTGACAGAATTTGCACTGCTGCATTGACCCCTTCGCCATTCTTTTACAGAAGTACCTTACGTGTTACTTTGGGGCACCACAACTTCGAAATTAACTCTTATTTTGCTACTGCTGGAAACGCTTGCGACTGCCGTGAGGCCAAGAGGAGTCACCAAAATAGATACCAGTTTAAAGCTCGATGTTGATTTTTTACGTGTCCATACCTTTTCCTGCCAGGCACATCACTAGGTTCAAATCATCCCATGACGTCAGCACATATCACACGTTACGGTCACGTTCCTGCTCCGCCGACTCTCCACCAGGTGTCTGTCCATCCTTTCACTGATTTTTTTTGCGTATGTCTAGCTGTCCCCATGGGTCTTTAAAGCAAAGTGCTGGCGTGGTGAAGCAGTGACGTAATGGCCATCGGATCATATGTGTGCGTTTGCACATAAAATGCACTTTATAACAGCATTCTCATGAAGCTGGGCACTTCATGCTCGCTTCGATTTTGGCCAATGTGGTGTGTAAAACTGAATGTGGGAAATAGAGGCAAAAAATACATTCAGCAAAATGTCGTCGATGCACGGACTATATAGCGGAACATAGAAATCCCCTCTCAAGGAAGAGGTTCGATATGTATGCAGAAGTCTGGCATGGCATCACTGCGGGCTAGTTTTAAATCATGCTTTTCATCGATACGTTGGAGCTGCGCTGTTCAGTAACGGAATGCAGACATATGCGTTCAAGATTTGAATCATTTGCCGAAGAGTGAGCAGCAAACGTTTGTTTGGCTTGAAAGTCATTTTAAGCATTGCGCCACAGCGATCGCAGTCCAGACCCTACATGCATGCAACACGGCATGCCAGACCTAAAGTAACGTAGACCAAAAACAAGCATCGGGAATCAAACTGGAAATCGGACTCCTGCAATAAAATCGTCTAAAAAATAAAGGCTTAGTTCGGTCCAACCCTCAAAAGTTCATATGGCGAATGCTTGCTGAAAACGGACTGTTTTATTTGGATTGGAGCTCTTTTGTCCAGCATTTATGAATTCTGGGCTGTGGGTTTGAAAAGAATGGATATTGGAGGAATAAAACTTCATGCACCTGGGGATGCATCCGCCGAGACTTAGTTCGCTCAGGGACGTCTGTACGGTGTAGGTGCTTGGTGCTCGGACGGGGCCCACGAGGGGCAACTTAGTCTGCTCATAGCTGATGCATGTAGCTAAATCTGGTCAAATAGGGCGTCGCGAGCATGCTGGTTAAGACAAGGATTAGAGGAGAAGGGCAAAGCTGACGGCTGGCGTTCAGTGATCGTTCCTCTGATCTCGTGATCTAGTGATAGTGATCTGATCTAGTGATCTAGGCCTCGAATGACGTTAACGCTCAGTCCCTCATTTTCCGCAGGGTTTTAAAGCGCCGGAATAAGCCCCTCTGGTTGGTGTTTTGTCTTGTAACGTTCCATACATCATCATGTACATCAAAGGTAGATGACGCGACATAAGCCATGCGCTGACGTCATTGGTAGTGATGGCAACCATGGAAAAGAAAGCAGACTCTTGAATGGTTTTCAACGAAAAATCTTCGCTGTGACCTTAAAAAGTAACTCTGATTCAAAGATCAACTGTCAGGCCCGGTGCTCATTGCCTCTCAAAGCCATGCATTTTTAAATGGCTTGTTAACTAATTCAGTCACACTCCATCAGTAACGCTCCGTCAGTTAAGCTCGCATGAAAGGCAGACCTTCCCATGCATTGATTAAAACTCATGCATGCATTACCACAGATTACTGGCTCCTTAAGTTGGGTTTTTTATCATCCTAGTGATGATGATTGAAGCTCATGGCTGTACGTGCGCCTCTCTTGCCCGAAAGCACAGGGCGTCCTTTCATTCCGGCACTCATCTCCTGTTCACCAGTGTCGAAGTCAAAAAGTTGCGCATAAATTCCAACAGCAGAAGCGAGCCACTGGTAAAAAACATAGGTATCAGAAAGTCAGGGAATAGTGCAATTTTTCACGGATTGGTACGTGACCCAAATAGGTTTTGTCATGCATAAGTTTTAATAAATGCATGGGGATGTCTGCCTTTCATGCAAGCTTAACTGATGGAGGTTTACTGATGGAGCGTTCTTGAGTTAATTAACAAGCCATTATAAAGTTCCTGGCTTTGGGAGCTAATGAAGACTTGACCTGATAGTTGATCTTTGTAGGCACATTCCATCCAAGAGTATGTTGAGTTTTGGCAACAACACCTAACCCCTTTACCCAAAACTTAAACCCACCTTCTGTTAGCGCTGTTAACATAATGACAATGTTGACGATGAATTCACTTAGTGGTGTAACCTGAACCATCACCCAGTTCGTTTGCTGATCTAATGTCATTTACCCCTAATTGGTTCACATAGAATGACGCTGCGAGCTGGCAGACTGACGACCAGACCAGCTCTGGCCGTGCTGACCTGGCTGACCTGTGACCCCTCTGAGGAGAACCCCGCGCAGCGAGCCGACCGACTGACGACCAGACTAGCTCTGGCCGTGTTGACCTGGCTGACCTGTGATCCCTCTGAGGAGGACCCTCCCAGCGAGCCTGTAGACTGACAACCAGACGTGGTCTGGCCGGCTGACCTGGCTGACCTGTGACCACTCGGAGCGACAGCGCCCGCCGTCTGCGTGAGATCAGTCCGAGACTCACATGGTAATGGCCAGCAGGAAGAGAAACCAGAACCACATGGTCAGGTAGATCTTCTCGTTCAGGATGTTGATGCTCAACACGCACATGGCGTCGTGTCGCTCTATGCTGCCGGACGGGCCGTACCGGTGGAATGTACACTTGGTGATGCGCGGGAACACCTGTCCGACAGGCACCGTCGCGTTACACAGAGTCTGTCGCCTCATTATTCGCATCAAGCGGAACGCGACGACACCAGGCGCGGAATGCGGCCGCGCACGGCAGCCAGTCCCTGACATTACGGTCACGCACGGCAGCCACTCCCTGACAATACGGCCGCGCACGGCAGCCAGTCCCTGACAATACGGCCACGCACGGCAGCCAGTCCCTGACAGTACGGTCACGCACGGCAGCCAGTCCCTGACAATACGGCCACGCACGGCAGCCAGTCCCTGACAATACGGCCACGCACGGCAGCCAGTCCCTGACAATACGGCCACGCACGGCAGCCAGTCCCTGACAATACGGCCACGCACGGCAGCCAGTCCCTGACAATACGGCCACGCACGGCAGCCAGTCCCTGACAATACGGCCACGCACGGCAGCCAGTCCCTGACATTACGGTCACGCACGGCAGCCAGTCCCTGACAATACGTCCACGCACGGCAGCCAGTCCCTGACAATACAGCCATGTCCTGGAGAGAACAACACATGTGTAATCGTATTCCGAATATCGATTCCCGGTAGCCGCAGGTTCACTAGTCAAGGCCCAAGCGAGGCCATCAGTCATGTGCTGATCAGCGATTATAACCGAAAATGTCTAACATGATAGAAATAAACACCTTTAAGGTGGAAAACGATCCAAGGTTGGCACGGCACCACATGAAACATACACATTGCTGCACAATTGCGTCATCATTGCTGATTTATAGTTTACACGAGGTCAAATACATCATGATCAGTGGCTGATTACATGCATTATGTACTTGTCAAACCAACGACGGCGATTTTCTGAAAGGCTCATGCTAAATGAAGCATGAAGTTTCTCAGATGCCCATACCGACATCTGACGTCACTGACGTTTGAAGCGTTCCCGTTACTCCTGTCATGTGGCCGTCCTATCGCGTCCTTCCTCGAACGTTGACGTCAGCTTCCGGCGGGAGGGTAACCACGTGACCTGGTCGGGTCCATGACCAGACTGAACCGGGGCTGCATTCAAAGGCAAAGCATCTCCCAAGAATGGTAACGGAAATCAGCAGAGCCCTGCAAATATGCGGCTCCGCGGTCGTGCCGCTGCCGCCCGTTTGTCTGTGAGGCCTGTCAACCATCAGGGCGAGGGATTCTGGCCGCCGAGATGCAAGTAAAGAGTCGTGTCCGGTTTTTCGTGTACTGGGTGTCTCGTTGTTTTGGAAGAGGTTCAACAAAGCTTGTTCACTGGCAGCTTTAATCGGTTTTGGTCTTTGAGAGCAGGCCGGTCCTGCCATTGAAAAATGGAAAGTGATGTGACCTGGATCTGGATCTGGATTTGACCTGACACCACGCGGCCCGCGGCTGGATCTCACCTGACACTACGCGGTCCGCAGCTGGATCTGGCCTGACACCACGCGGACAGCAGCTGGTCCCCATCGGTGTGCCACTGAATTTGACCTGACACCACGCGGACAGCGGCTGATCCCCGCCCATGTGTCCCTAAATCTGACCTGACACCAGGCGGCTCGCGGCTGGTCCCCGCCGATGTGGAGACTGACTTACCTCGTACATGGGGTCTGTGCGTGACTGTGGGTCTTGGTTTACAAAGTCCACCACTCGGCTTCCGTAAGTAGTGAACTCTCCTCCCAGGAATCTGTAACACCAACCGCCGGTCAGATTTATACTAACCGCCGGTCGGATTTAAACCAACCGCCGATCGGATTTATACCAACCGACGGTCGGATTCGAGCCGATCGCCGGTCGGTTTAAACCAACTGCCGGTCGGATTTAAGCCAACCGCCGGCCGGATTTGAACCAACCGCCGATCGGATTTAAGCCAATCGCCGGTCGGATGTGTATCACCCGCCGGACAAATTTGAACTCAGTAATCCAGAAAACCGTAAACCACTCACTGGTTAGACGTGAACTCGTCATTCAGAAATCTGGTAGCACGAATCGCCGATCAAAAGGCAAGCAAAGTACGTTGCGTGCCCCCTTTTTACAGATAACGCTAAAAAGAGCTAAGTACTGGGTTTAAATTTGAGAAGCTTTCACCTCATCAACCTCCCACACATGATCATGCAGAGCTTCTCAGCGCATCAAAACGAACTTAATGAAGCTACAAAGACTCCTACACTGTGGTCCGGTCCGGCACCACCGCTCGGCCGAGCGTGCTGGCCGGCGCCAGACAATGGCCTCTCCCTTGTGCGAGCTGTGTGGACGGTCAAAACTTGCTCACTTATTTATAGTTACATGTCACATTCAGCATGGAATTACTTAGCGTTAGTGTTTGACCCCTCTGCTGGCGTTTTAGCCTTCTGTCAAGGTTCTTCCTCTCCTTTTGTGACGGTTTGTTCAAATAAAACATATCAATTCGGAACTGAATTGCGGTCCTCGCGTCCGGGAAAATTTGATCAAATAGTGCCTAGTTTTCGGGCGATCCATCTCAGATTGGTATGTGACGTGGTGAGCATTCTCCGAACCTGGCTCGCCAGCGCGCCCGTGCGGCCGGACCCGCGGTATCGTCGGTTGAGCAGCGTGGCCGACAAAAACTCCCCAGCTCAAAGCACATGAAACCTATACTCTCGACATTTGGAGCGTGTGCAGTTTATCAGGCGCGTATTGCGTATGTCACGCTAATTCAGCCGTGGCGAACTAAAGTTAGAAGGAAGCTGCAGGAGCTCTACGAGTGTGAAGGTAGCATAGGCGATAGCTATGACAAGGTTAATTGCATGCCGTAGATGTCAATCCCACTTTTTGCGTGTTTTGAAGATAACCGTCATTTCGGTTTCGGTTTCGGTTTCGTTTCGTTTCATTTGTTTCGTTTCGTTTTCTTCAATTTCTGTTTCGGTTTTCAGGTTTTGGCCCAATCCCATTGAACAGAAAAAGTAAATTGCACAAAGCGGCCCCGATTTTTGACACCCGACCCTCACTCCCATCACAAAATGTCTCGTCTAAGCCAGAAAGAAAATCAATTTGATTCAGACACCTAAATTTGAATCCTTAATCTGACGCGGGCAGAAGTATTTGCTGGAATGTGATACGCCGTCACCATAAGGCTCCCTTCCATTGGCTTTATGGTAGAGAGGTAGTTGACCCGTGTTAAAACCACCCCACCACCGCCGGTGGCTGAGGTCAGGGTTGATCAAGTAATGGAATCTATCCATTTACAGTCCCCCGATGGCATGACGGCAAGTTGTGTTTCATTAGAAAAAGAAGGCATATTAATGAGCACGTATAGTGGTGAGGGGACGACGGCAGCAAAGTGCTAACTTGTCGAGACATATCGTGCTATCGCTGACGCCAGTGTGGTTCGAAATCACCTTCTAGAACTTTCAACTTGGTGCTCAGCCAAAATTGCGTCTACAATTATGGTAGATGCAACTGTGCACTTGGTTCTCATGTGTAGTTAATTCATTTTGCCATTTGAAATGCGCATCGGATGTGAATTAAATAACGAGAATGGTTCGCAGCTAAAGGTGACCCTGTAATGATATTGTGTCATAGTATTGTGTGTGCAAATAATATTGTGCTATATGACATGCGCATAGGATGTGAATTAAACACGAGAACGATTCGCAGCTAAAGGTGACGCTGAAATGATGATTGTGAGCCACCAGGAGACAACTACTAAGCGCGTTTTAAGCATACTAGAGAACATGTAAAATCATTAACATCTCTGACTCCGCCGCCCGTTGAAGACGAGCGGCTGCTACCCGGCGCTTACTGGTTTGTGATGACTAGCTGAAGGACGATGTTCACCAGGTTCAGCAGCTCGCAGAACACGTACTTCATGGCCCAGGCCGTGTGCGTGCCCCACTGGTAGTACAGGTAGTCAACCATGATGTCTTCCTTCTTCTTGCGCTCCTCTTGGTTTATGATCAGGTAGTTGAGGCCCTGGGGGAGGACTCAGCGGTGAGGTGACCGCGAAGACGACCTAAGGTAAAAATTCGATTTCTTGAAACATTGAACTCTTGAGATGCAAATATCGGGCACGTCTGCAGCATAATCCACCATTTTTCTAAGGCAGTTAAGCTTGGTAGGATATGACAGTTCGACAAGATGCGAGTTTGGCGACACATGACATTCCGTGTGGTTCATGACAGCTATCAACCTCTAATTTTCGACTGACAGACTCCCAGCTGTCCGCCCAAACGTAGTGCCAGCAAATCAATGCTTCCCAGCTTGCACAGACCTTAGCTTATTGCGAGGCGCCGGCTGCGGACAGCAGGCTAGGGACCAGGACCAGATGGACAGCTTCAGACAGCAGGTGAGGGACCAGGACCAGCTGGACAGCTGCAGACAGCAGGCGAGGAACCAGGACCAAATGGACAGCTGCAGACAGCAGGCGAGGGATCAGGACCAAATGGATAGCTTCAGACAGCAGGCGAGGGACCAGGACCAAATGGACAGATACATAGGACAGCTTGACAGCGCCGAACAGCAGTCATTTTGTCATCATTATTGTGATCTACGCAGTGCCAGCTTGTTCCGAAATGCGCAAAATGGGATGAGAGATTCCCTGGACAATCGTTGTTTTTTGTGGTTGTTTTTGTTTGGTTCTTTGCTGAACGCTGATCTTTTTACTGAGCACATCCTTACATTGCCACTAAAATAATGGGATATTGAATATTGATGAGATAAGGACTGCACTTCTTCTCACAAGCAGGTTGTATATGAGTTGCATGTTGCATGTACTGGTAACGTGATAAAGCGCAACGGAAGGGATAGCTTAAAATTAGCACTTAGACTTTGCAGTGTGCAAAAATAAGCAAACACAGCTCTGTATTGCAAGCAAACCTAACTTTAAATATGTAAACTGTCTTCTGAAGGAAGCTTCGTCGTTGTCAACTGCATGGCCCGGTCACCTGGATATCCCCTTATGAAGCGGCATTCGGCAAATGTGATGAGTGTTCATGCAATTGAATCAGAGCGGCGGATGACAATTAGCTCGCTCTTAAAGTGCATCACATGCTGCCCATCTTTTGTGTACTTCTGGTATAAGACATGGCAGGATAACACATGGTGTGATCAACAAAAACACATAGCGGGATAAAATATGGTGGGATGACCGAGCAGCACATGGTTGGGTAACCGAACAAAGCATTGTTGGATTTTCCAATAACAGCCGGCGAGACATCACCTCAGTAATATATTCATAGAAATATGCAGCGGCAAAGCATGAGTAAAGCATGCCAGATCAATGGCATTAATTCTTTCAACCATAACCCAGAAGAGGAAGGAAGAAAATTAGCCTAAACTTAACTACTACCTAAACTTAACTAAAAACTGAAACTACGACCTCTGGCTTTTGGCCGGAGGTCGTAACAGCACGACGGACGGCGAACGCTGAAGGCATCTGGACCTGACGCGGTTGTTTCGGTCACTCATTAACCATTGCCAAGGGTGTTATTTTCTAGTGGTTGTGGTTTCTGCGCAGCTCGGCGGGAGAGAAGTGTAAACCTTCCTTTGTCTCGCACAAACCAACGGACGTTTGACCCAAAGGCCAATAGTGCCTTACTTGTCACCATGTTGATTGTCATGTCAGTTTTTTATTATTTATAGTGCAGATGAGCGGAAAGAGCCGAGATAGCCGGCGCAGATAGCCGCCTACATGCCCGAGATAGGAACCGGCGCTACCCTGCCCGTAAACTAACGGGGGGGGGGGGGGGATATCACGTTCCCTACTCCCGTTGGCAGAGGCGTGCAAAGGTTTCATGCTTGGGAAGGATGCAAATTTGCCACATTCGAATGGCAATGAAGCCCACTACAGCATGGTCCAGACACAGAGTGCACATCCTGGTCGCATGACGAATGCTCCTCCCATGTAGAAACGCGAACGCCGGCGTGCTGCTGCCCGATTAGGTGGGCGGGCGTCTTGACAGCACGTGCTATCGTCACACAAGGAGTCGGTAGATAAGATAGCGTCGCTGTCCGCCAGCGACTGGCTGGCGAGACGGGCGCCCGGAAAAGCCAGCCCACGGAGCAGACGCTCAGATGAACAGTCACCGAGCGACGAGAGTGGACAGTCACCGAGCGACGAGGTCAGATGAGCAGTCACCGAGCGACAAGGTCAGATGAACAGTCACCGAGCGACGAGGGTGAACAGTCACCGAGCGACGGGGGGGAACAGTCACCGAGCGACGGGGGTGAACAGTCACTGAGGGACGAGGGTGAACAGTCACCGAGCGACAAGGTCAGATGAACAGTCACCGAGCGACGAGGGTGAACAGTCACCGAACGACATGGGTGAACAGTCACCGAGCGACAAGGTCAGGTGAACAGTCACCGAGCGACAAGGTCAGATGAATAGTCACCGAGCGACGAGGGTGAACAGTCACTGAGCGACGAGAGTGAACAGTTGCCGAGCGACGAGAGTGACCTGCTCACAGTCGCTCACTTCCGGCCAGCGGGCGTCACGTGGTATCTGCGGGTGTAAGCGCCTCGTTGAGGAAGTCCTTCCTCGCTCCGCTCGTTCAAAACAGGCGGAAATCTCGAGAAGGCAGGACGAAGAGGCCGAGATAGCACGTACAAAGAGGCCGAGATACCACGTACAAAGAGGAAGCCCAGGAAGCTGAGGATCTGACGCGTGCTAGATACCCCGCGGTATCTGCGGCACGCACGTGCGTAAACGCGTCGAAGGATCGCTTGAAATTACTGTTGAAGGTGCCGTCTGACCAGGCTTGACAATCAGCCGTGATCTGGTCTCTGGTATATGACGCGTCTGACCAGCATAAAATCGATGCCGAAGTCTGACGAAGTTAATTTGTATAGTGTAAGTTCAAATATGGTTAGGACTGAAACATATCCCACGAAGCGATTGAAAGACAAGATGTGGACATGGATAGACAAAGAAATAAAAAATGGTAGAATGACGGAGTATCGAATAAAAGTTCGAAACCGAAAGAGATCAATCGTAAAATGAAGACCGAACAGCGTGCGGTGGGTTTGCATATCAAAGTTAAAGTTATAAAAATTAAGCTACCAGAGCAGAATAGGCCGGACAGGAAACCCATCGACGTTATGCTAATGCTCAGCCGGGGTCTACAACCGAACGCAAAACGGGTCAGTCCGCAGTTATTCTCGGGATACGCGTAGAAAACAAAATCGCATTATGATCGCTAAACGGATTCTGAATTTCAATTCGGGTGCACTGCTTACGTGAAATCCAGTCCACTGGCGGGTTGCATGCACACCGCATGCTTCCCAAAAACTTTTCTAGTTTAGGCTTTTGTTCCATTTCTCAATTTTTTGCGTTGATGCATACTATATCAGTCATCTGCCATGGCATACACTTGCGTTTAGATATCTTTCTTGTTGATGTTCATACCTGTCAATAGTTGCCCCAGATTATTTCCGTTCCCCTGTATTACATTTCATTATTTTGAATCAGCTGTTTTGCCGACAACCAAGCTTTCAATCACCAAACGAATTTAACACTACATGTTACGATATGGCCAGGAACGGTTTTACCCCTTTCTGACACTGCGCCACACTGAACCCAGTTCAGACATCTCAATTAAGGCCAATTATAAAGAATTGCCTGGCATGACAACAGTCCCCATATAGCTTAAGTCGTCTTTTGTGTCAAAAAGTGTCAAATGATTGCAAAGTTGTCAAAACATTTTAATCTGATGGATGAACATTAAACCCTTTTCAGGACCTAACAATACCTGACATGACCGGGGAGTTGACTGGCCAAAACTAATAAACTAGACGCGGAAGATAGGCCGAACGTATGTTCAATTCGTGATTCTGTGCCTCGTCTCAATGTGTCCATAATACTATTTCATATCGACATCAAAACTGACGTTGATGCCACCACTGCAATGTTCTCCGAGCCGTCAAACTCAGAATTAGCGATGCAACTAACGTGCAATCGGGGCTTTACGACACAACCAGTCGGTGATGCCAAATGACATTGGGGATTTTCGACACAATCAGTCACTGATGCCAAATGGCATTCGCGATTTACGACACAATCAGTCACTGATGTGAAATGGCATTGCCTGCGGCTTTCCTGAAAGGAGCGTGCATCGCGGGAAAAGAAACCCATAGCGATTTTATTTGAAGTGATAGAATATGTAGACTGTTACCTATTTACGCACTCTACGGGGTCTTTTCAAACTTCATAAACATCTACATCTTCAAGTCAATAACACCTGCATGATCACCACCTTACCAACACTGATCACGTTCATGGCGTTACCTATGCTGACCACGTTGTGTGGCGACGGTGCCCGTCATCAGCTGATCAGATGTGACCACACCGCAGCGGGGGGGGGGGGAGGGGGGGGGGCGTGCTTTCGGGACACATGGCACATGCGAGACTGACGCCGAGAGCTCAGCCACAGCTGCCCACTAACCGGACCAGCTTCTGCCGGCTGCTGCCAGCTGCTGCCAGCAGGCCGGCTGCCCACTAACCAGGAGGCTCATACCTGAAGCACGTTGTTGACCTTGTCGGTCTGAACCATTTTCCAGATCCAGTGGGGCACGTAGAAGCTGATAGCCTGCAGGAAGAGCACGTACGGCACCCACATGTAGTAGTTGTGGTACTTGGTCTCTGTGTCGGGCGTGGACGGCCCCAGGCCCTTGTGGGCCACTTCCAGGCCCGCCTGCGGGCACAAACAGTCAGCTGTCAGAGGGCAGCCGGGTCATGTGGGTCTCAGATGTACGGGATGTTCCCTCTGCCAAAGCTCAGAGGGAACATCCCGTACAAAATGTAGGGGGGTACAACGCAAGCATCAACAGCTCCGAGCGTCCAAGAAATGCTGGTGTAACTGAGGCTTTTAACTGAAAATGTAGCTGGTTGAAGCACTTGGTGCATGCTGTGAGCGAATAACTCAGATGGTTGACCATGAGCACTGACCCTAGTAAATGTCGTCCAGTAGGCGGTTTTTTTGTGAACTTGTGTGCAAATGCACGTACCAGAGGCCTTCATGGGCTCGGCAATCCATGGGGTACCAGTTTGAAATTGGTCACGGGATGTGTTGAGCTATAAATTTTATGAGAAGTAGGGGTATGGGTGAGGGTACGTATGGACAATACGTTCACGAAATCTCCGACAAACACTTCGGGAAAACTACGCAGTCATATTCCTTGCGCTTGTTCCAGTTATTATCAGTTTGATTCACTCTGATTTTGTAGTCATCGCATGAAGGTAAACCTGGGTGTAAAATGTCCTGAAATTATGCCATAATTTAAAACGTCAGCATTGAAAAATGCAATCAGCTCAATAACGGATCGGTACAAATAATAAGGATGGGAGCAGGAGCGACAGTGGGTATGGGCACTGCCTCATGGGCGGCCGGTAGCTTTGGTTAAGGAAATGTAACCTGTTGAGGCATCTAGCACGAACAATCCGCATGAAAAACGTTACGCTGGATATTTTGAACGTTGACATGCCCTTCGCATGTCAGGCTCAGAAACTGGCCGGTGCGCCGTTAGTGTCGCATGTCAGGCTCAGAAACTGGCCGGTGCGCCGCTAATGTCGCATATCAGGCTCAGAAACTGGCTGGTGTGCCGCTAGTGTCGCATGTCAGGCTCAGAAACTGGCCGCGCGCCGCTAGTGTCGCATGTCAGGCTCAGAAACTGGCCGGTGCGCCGCTAGTGTCGCATGTCAGGCTCAGAAACTGGCTGGTGAGCCGCTAGTGTCGCATGTCAGGCTCAGAAACTGGCCGGTGCGCCGCTAGTGTCGCATGTCAGGCTCAGAAACTGGCCGGTGCGCCGCTAGTGTCGCATGTCAGGCTCAGAAACTGGCTGGTGCGCCGCTAGTGTCGCATGTCAGGCTCAGAAACTGGCCGCGCGCCGCTAGTGTCGCATGTCAGGCTCAGAAGCTGGCTGGTGAGCCGCTAGTGTCGCGTGTCAGGCTCAGAAGCTGGCTGGTGAGCCGCTAGTGTCGCGTGTCAGGCTCAGAAGCTGGCTGGTGAGCCGCCAGTGTGCGTGTCAGACTCAGAAGCTGGCTGGTGAGCCGCTAGTGTCGCGTGTCAGGCTCAGAAACTGGCCGGTGCGCAGCTAGTGTCGCATGTCAGGCTCAGAAGCTGGCCGGTGAGCCGCTAGTGTCGCGTGCCAGACTCAGAAGCTGGCTGGTGAGCCGCTAGTGTCGCGTGTCAGGCTCAGAAACTGGCCGGTGCGCAGCTAGTGTCGCATGTCAGGCTCAGAAGCTGGCCGGTGAGCCGCTAGTGTCGCGTGCCAGACTCAGAAGCTGGCCGGTGAGCCACTAGTGTCGCGTGCCAGACTCAGAAGCTGGCTGGTGAGCCGCCAGTGTACGTCAGGCTATGATCAGCGTTGCCGCGCCGGTCTGCGTACCATTTCGAGCTTCTCACGCCCTGGCTCGTCGTTCTACAGGAATGTTTTACGGTGAGAAGCCCTGCGATATGGCTGGATTGGCAATCCTTCGAAGGCAGCCCAGTTAACGACAAAGTGACGTCAGAACGGAGCACATGACGTCAGAACTGGCCTCACCCTGGTCGGTGATGCGCTCTGAACCGCTCTGAAAACCTTATCTCTGCAAGAATCATTGTACAGTTGGTGCTTGTCTTAGAAATAAGTGGAACGATTTTAAAAGAGTCAGGTGGTATGACAGCTCCATAAAATTTGGGAATGGTTACAGAGTGGGTGCAACTATTTGCAACGTCCCCACCACGAGCCACGTCCGAAATCCAAGCAGGTCGGCTGTTACAAACCAGGTATTTTTCAGATCCGATACATTCAACGTCATCGTCGTATCTCATGGAGCAGTATGCTCACTGCACTTCAAAAATAAAAGCAATGCATTTGGACGTAAAACCACCTTCGTTTGTGGGGACCAAAAATACAGCGCAATTCAAAGCCCCATGGAAACCATCAACGACGACAGGACTTCCCAAACTTCTCCGCACACTGCCCTGCAGGGGAGAGGGCGATCTGTGAGCCACATAGGGTTTCGCTGACTGGAGCGGACCCCAAAACGCGCCATCTGGTGGAGACCAAGCTAGCGGGAAGGTAGTTTCCGGGATTCATCAGTTTCGTTTTCTCGAAGCTAAGACTTTTGCTATCGTTTCCGCCGTCCTCTTACATTAAATTTTTTCACCGATTTTTTTTTAAAACTTAATCTTAGAGATGTTGGGGTGGAGGTAAATACCCTGAAGACCCTGGGACATGGACATAATATTGCACAATGCGTTTGGGGCCGAGCAGTGAAATACAACAACTTACCATCGAGATAAGCTAATAAACGGGTATTCCCCCGGATTTTACTTTCTTCTCAATGTTGAGCGAGCTGAAGCCCAAGTTTGGGAGAAGGGAGGGGTGGGGGAGGGGGCAAGAGCCCAAGCTGGTGTCCCTTAAACGAAAAAGACAGCTACAACCCTGTCCTGGAGTGCCATGCAATTCGGTAGTAAAGATTTGCTCGCATTGCTTTTCTACAGGCCCTTTTCACGATATCATCATTTACGAGTAAATTGACACCTTCCGGAATCTTCCTTACGAACAGTTCTTCGGACTCAGAATGCGTCCCGTGTTTGATTCACAAACGTCTCAACTTGAATGACTTATCGTAGGCACGTATTTACTCTTTCGTCACGCATCGAGGTTCGATCGCAGCCAATTGGGCACCGCACAAGCGAGGTTACTTTTAAGTTCCAGTCACTCAGCGGTCAGGTGGATAGTCACTATCTATCTATCTATCCTATGACTATCCACTATCAGGTGGATAGTGGATAGTCACGCTTGCACAGGTGGCCCAAGTTACGGTATGTGATGATATCTGCTCCCTTGTAAACGTTTCCACCATTCGAAATTTATCTACGCAGTAGGATCCCAAATGGAAGTGCCGAGGATTCGGACACCCACTCTTCACTAGCAATTCGTAGTCATTCTTGGCATACGAATATTATTCTAGTTCATAAATGTCGTTAAAGGAATTGGACGCATCACAAAGTTTCCACACCTCTTTGATTCAAAGTGGTGCAAAGTAGTAATGTTAAAAGGTACATTTGCAACCCTACGACAAGTAGGTCAACAGACATGATCCCTCGCACGTTTCGTTCAGTTAACGGCATCGTAACGTTATGGCTATATGAATTGCGAAATCCGTACGAACGGCACTCTACCTGGTACTGTTCTCAGCTCGCGTATTGAAAGAAGCATTTCGCAGTATTGCGGCAAATAGCATGAGCAATCGATCAAAATAAAACGCCGTGCGAGTAAGGAAAGAACGTCAAAACTTTCCCAGCATGAAACCCAACAACTTGATTAAAGGGTCCCGTTCCATCCCAGTGACGTCACAGCCTATGCGCGTCCGCATGGCGAGACATACGCGTTCAAGTTTGTTTCCGGCCACCACCTTGTCCATTTAATATGCAGCTGTAAATGTCGTTATCAATTCGTCAGAGTGATCGAAAAAGATGGAAGCAAAGGCGCATAGGACCTAAAAGGCAAACAGGGGAATACCATGAAACACTTCCAAGCGTCCATCGCTCAGCCTCCAAAATATGAAACCACACCTGGCCGTCCGAGGTGGACGGTAGCGTGAACGTGCTGGAGATGAAGCAGAACGTCTCAATTACGGTGTCCGGGAGCGCATCCTTATCTCCTAAGCAGGAGATCTTGTCGCCGAGGTACTGGGTGGCCGTCACCATCAAGCAGCTGCCCATGACGAAGACGAAGGTCGTGCGATAGTGGAGGCGGAACACGAAGCTGTCACCGCGCGGCTTGTTACGCGAAGCAAACAGCTTCGTCTGTGACGAGAGCGGGCCCAGCACGGACAGCATCGTGGCGGCGAGGCTGGCTCCTGACGAGCTGTTGCTACGTGAGGGAAGGTGCCAAGTTCGGGCAGCTTAGTCAGCAGCAAGTGCAGTCATTCGCCTCAGCAGTGGGACGTTTCCTGTTGGCGGCAAATGCTTCTTGCAACGGTTTGATCTTGTCCGATGTAGCTCCGTATTCAACGCGATATATGCATACAGTGCCTTCAAGACAGGTCCTGAGCTGGCTGCGATGTCGTGGTCTTCAGGGTCGTTGTTGTCTTGTGCAATAGCGGGGCAAAGCACACCCTCACCAATGCTCCACGTCCACAACCTGAGCGGGCCTTGAGAAACTCTGGCGCACTAGTGCAGGTGTTTCTAGCGCATATAGCGTGGGCTTATCAGCAGCCCCACGCTACGCTTTAGCAAAGTCTGAGTCCTTATCGGGCTCTGCCGGAATGTGGCCGGCCACTCTGAGTCAGAGCGTCCGATGGTAGCTTTGATGGAGGTCCGCGTGACTCGGAGTCGGGGCGTCCGGTGGTAGCTTTGACGGAGGTCCGCGTGACTCTGAGTCGGGGCGTCTGGTGGTAGCTTTGATGGAGGTCCGCGTGACTCGGAGTCGGGGCATCCGGTGGTAGCTTTGATGGAGGTCCGCGTGACTCTGAGTCGGGACGTCCGGCGGTGGCTTTGATGGAGGTCCGCGTGACTCGGAGTCGGGGCGTCTGGTGGGCTTTGATGGAGGTCCGCGTGACTCGGAGTCGGGGCGTCTGGTGGTAGCTTTGATGGAGGGCGTGATCCGCGTGACTCGTGTCGGGGCGTCTGGTGTAGTGGTTGATGGAACTCGCAAGGGTCGCGCTGGGGTAAGCCGCACTGCTAACTGCTGTGCCTGCATTTCAGAAGTCGTGAGACGGTCGATGCGCAGTCCCCGTTAGGCTAACATTAGTCAAGTATGTTTGGTAGCTGCATAAAGCGGGGAGCGAGCAGCGCCGAGAAATAGGCACAGGGGGCTGCGCGCGCTTGAACGATGGCACGAGACAGTTAGCGTTCATGCCTAACCGTCCAGTTACCGCAAACACCGAGCCGGATAGAGGGGAGCAGCAACAGAGCCAGGCTATAGGCGTGCAGTCCTTTCATGGAGTTGCTTCCCGTCACAAAGGTGAATCGTTGCCTCATCCGCTCCGCGATTCCATAAGAGTGCAATTATCTTTGCAAAGGCATGGGCCTTTGCATTGATGTGATGCGATTTATATTTGCACCAGTTGCGCCTCTGTTGTTGGCCGTGGCCTGTCGGGACGACTTTGGCTCTGTTGTATTTGTTATGCTCAGGGAGGCAGCAAAACGATGAGTGGTGAGGCTGCGAACTTGCATGCGAAGCGCTCAAGGAAAAGTCAGTGGGGGATGAGCTCGGACGTTAGTGACAAAGTCGCAGAACAGATAGTGGAACGCATTTTTGGCTCGCGGCTTAAGCCGCGAACCACAAAGTCAAGAACAAGTGTCAAAGTCATCCGTGGATCACAAAGTCGGGGACAGTCATCCGTGAACCACAAAGTCAGGAACAAAGTCATCCGCGGACCACAAAGCCAGGGACAAAGTCATCCATGGACCACAAAGCTAGGGACAAAGTCATCGTGGATCAGAAAGTCAGGTACAAAGTCATCCGCTGACCACAAAGGGGCAAAAATCAACTGTTCCCAGATCTTTCCAAAGCCAGAAATCCTGATCAGCAACAAATGCCCTCTCGTAATGGAGGATAGACACCGGCCCAGAATGCACCTCTTTACGGCGCTGGCCAGGGGGCGGTGGGGGGGGGGGGGGGGGTCGACGAGAAACATGCGCTGCTCCAAGAGCGGCCACTCGCGTTGGGACCCATCGCTCAGCGCAGCAGCTTGGCCGCCGGCGCACACAGCTGCGGGAGCATCTTGTCCACCGTCTCATGTGCTGTTGAGTTGCTCCATATGCGTGACTTGTGGTTACCTGAAACACCTTGTCCACCCTCTCATGTGCTGTTGAGCTACTCCATATGGGTGGATTGTGCTTACCTGAAACTGGTATGCCACGTGCGGAAGGTTCTATGCTTTCAAAGCTCACTCGGGGATCACTGCAGGTCCAACTATTCTGAGAGGAAAGGTGCGATATGTGGTAGCCTCCTAGAGCTGGATCCGGAGCGGACGCCACGGTGACGTGGTGTTGGTCTGTTGTGGACGTCGCGGGATCAGCATTAAACCGGGACCTTGTAGTGAGCTTCGCCTCCGCAGCGTAAGCGTCAACGATATCACAGGATTTCGACTGTTAACAGTCGACTGCAACATGCCACTATGCGGCCATTCAGCGATACCACGGATAGTGTACAGAGTAGGATGGCAAGCTGTATGCGTCAATGACATCACACAGAGCAGTTGAACCAGTATCCTAGTGGGAGATTTTGGCTTCGTCGTCCTGAAAATGCGTTCTGATGCCTTTTTTGAAATGGTTTCATGTAAATGTCACCATAGCGCATTTGAAAACCATATCAAGAACCATATACCTTATGTTATGACATCCCCAATCATTGATACCTTCACGTGCTGTATGAGTTTGCCTGAGAACGGCAGTTTAAATTTACGCGCCCCCAGCTATGAAACACCTAAAAGTCACTGACCCGTGTGTGGGTCTGAGCTGCTTACTAAGGCCCCTACCTGAAAATTACTGACCGGCTGCTGGAAGACTTTTATATCCCAACCTTTCCGGAAACTATTTTCAATGGCCCGAACCCACGGACAAGGTCTTTTTTGAAAATTTGTGGTATTCTGTGTTTGCGTATGTCAGTAACATGATGTGAACGAAAAAAAGAACCGGGTCACATTCAGGCACGTTCTTGCTTATACTGAGCCGAGGTATGTGCATCCATTGGATATATTTTTTCGCCTTCCAGTGCAGGTTAGCTGCAGAGGTAATTGGTTTCGAGTTTTGGCAGCTTTTCCATCATCGTTTGCTTTACCAAAAGGATGTTTTGGTTCGATAGGCATAAATCCGCGGATAATCTCACAGATCATCTTGTTTTGGCCGGAATACATTAGCCCCACGTGATCTCTGATGATGGTCCAGTGTGACCGCGTGCCTGCTGACCGGTCCTAACTCACGACTTGTATATACGTTTACTTCCTCTGGTTTTTTCGCTATGTCGTTGCACCCTCGAGATTGACCGACACCCTCGAGCTTGAAGTGTGCCAAACTCGATGCACCAAGCCGGTTATTGGGCTGCCCCTCTTGGCTCACCACGTGGCTCTGCTCACGGTCCTTTTTTCTTCTTTCTTTCCTTTTTTCCGAGACCACTTTTTACTCTCCGAGACCAAGAGCAGTGTAGCTCTGGTGAGAGCGTCACGTCCTGGTTTGCAAGTTTGCCATCTATCACCGATTGGAACAAGGAATGACTCATAGTCAGGTGACGCTTGCCGTGGGCCCAACAGCGTTGCAAGGTCATTTTAGACGCGCATAATGGGATATTGTGGTTTCCATACAACCCTCGACATGGCCCGCTGTACAAATTGTAACTCAGGTAATGAAAGTATTTCATAAGGAGGATGAAGTTGTTGAATTCCAGAGATAATTGGTTAACTGATTATCTGCAGCCTTTCGTCGCCTGTTGGGGCTCTTTGTTATTTCATGACATTATGCTTTTATTTTTCACTCCCCTCCATGCGTTTTGTTAATTTAATTTCCGTGACTATAATGCGAAACTAACGGATTAGTTGCTTGATGTGCAGATTGAGAACACTGTTACTTTTAATGTTAACACGAACTTAGTGTAGTTAACACGAACTTAGTGTAGTTAACACGAACTTAGTGTGGTTAACACGAACTGAGTGTAGTGACACGTATGTCGGTGGTGCAAGATAGCCCCGCTGCCGACGCGCCTTTAAGCACCAAATCACCACCACCACACTGACATGTATGTCCTGCAGTTGAATTTTTGCACGCATGCACCTGGGCGATGTCCTACATTGATCTGAAAAGATCACGCATGGGCGATGCCTTCAGTGCAACAGTGCTATACCGCATCAGCAATCACCTCAAAGAAATTTGGCTTTACGCCTTAAAGCACTCGATCTATTTCACAGCGGCTAGCTGCTCACGGAAATGCACAAAGCTCTAGCATGTCTCCCTTAACACGCGCTCGAGTGGGGGGTCAGATTGACCCCCGAAGGTTTTACAAAACGTTTCCGAACGCCGCACCAAATTTTGCATGTCTGTAGACATTTAAATAGCAGATCGTTGGACATACAAAATTTAGATGTACCATGCAAGGTCGCTGACATATGGCAGGTCAAAGTCAGGCCATGTTTTTAGCGAAGACAATTCCTAGAGAATCGTTTAATCTGATGCAACAACGGGGTGTTTGACGAAGCCATACATCTCTGAGATGCTTTCCTAGGCAAAACAAGTAGTGAATGAGCAAATGACGTTGACCTAATGCCAGGTATGAAGGTCAGATTAAGGTCAAAATCAGCCTGTTTTATTACTCTAGGGCTTACTGTATGGGATAGTTTCTGGTATTCATTTCAAATTTATTGATAACAGGAACCGCATTATACACATTTCATTAACTTGTAAGAGGTCAGAATAGGTCATTAACCCAAGATGACCTAGGTCGACATTTTGTTTTTTGGAGCATTCTGCCTAGCGTTATCTTTGTTGCTTATTGAAATGCAAAGCTCAAAGAAGTCTTGTATGATTTTGTCACCATGATCTTCAAAATGCCAAATAAGGTCACTGACCTTTTGACCTGAAATGAGTTTGTGGCCTTTTGCTCAGAAACACTTATCTACATTTTGTTTTGCGGGCACTTTGGAGACCAACCTAGAATTTGACCTTGTTTGACCTTATTTGACCTAAAGGTCATGATCTAGGAACCTAAAACTGTTACCTAAGTGAGTTTACGTACAGGTCACACACCGTGCAAATTTGGTGTGTCTAGCCTTCTTAGTTCCCGAGATCTCAGGCGGGGGTTCAAATTGATCCCCCCTCCCCCCCCCCTCCACCCGATCGAAGGGTATCTAGCCGGCCACCCGGGCGCATGTCAACTTCTCAGTCAAGCTGCCAGCTCAGATGCGAGTGTGAGCTGAGTGTTGAAGCTTATCAAATTTGGAGGGGCAGATGTCAAAACGATGGTCACAAAACGACATCGCGTTCTCATATCACACGATTTAAGGGTGAAGTAGGCATTAGGTGGGGGGGGTGGGTTGTGACATGGGGGGGTTCAGGTCTCTTCACGTACATAATATAACAACTGAGGTGGTTGTCGTTAAACCTCTACGAAGAAGCAGAGGATCTCTTAAAGGTATAAGAACATCTGATGAAATGTGTTACGTAATGATCAAGAGCGTTGACCTCTTTCTTTTCAGGCTTCTCCGGTTGTTCTGGTCAAAAGAAAGTTATCTTTAAACTCAGATAATAGCGCATGACAAACAGCGTCTTGGGTACTCATATCTAGACTTGGTCTCCATTTGTAACTTCCGCCCTTCGTGAACGTTAAATGAATTATAATGGCCCAGTCTCCGGTATGTGCCTTCTGTCATGTCGCTCTCTT